ATGAATCTTGCCCTGGGAAATGGAGATATACACTACCTGGTTGAATATGGCCGACACCTGCAATCACGGCGTGGCGCCAAACAAACCCGCAGCGAATAAAGACCCCGCGCCGCGCCGACACCAACCAAAAAAAAAAAGCGGCCCGCAGGCAACCCGACTCGACCCCCCGGCCTCACCGAACCGGCACGCAGTCCGCCCTTGGACCTGCCACAAGTCCCACACCAGGGAACCAGGTCTCGCGCGGGACCGTCACGCGAGACCCGTGTTTTCCTTTATATGTATAGAGATTGTTATCTAATATAGTGCACTCAGCCCTAAACGTTGTTGCATGTCAGCTAAATAGAGTGTGTAAAGGAGAAAGAAGACTGTATGCGCATAAGGGGGGAACTGTGAGAGAATATGAGGGAGAGAGAGGTCGAGAACCAAGATTCGGTGGGCGATCCACGAGTACCTGAGGAAGGAAACCAGGCAAACAGGGAACACCGGTGAAGACTAGAGCGAGGGGACTGTCACACACAGACAGAAAGAGAGAGGGAGAGAGAGGGAAAGAGAAGGATAGCCCTCTCCTAGGTGTGAATCCAGATCTACGTTGAAAGTTCCCTATGAAGCCATAAACAAAAAAAAGAGGGGAAATATATATATTTAAATAATATTTTTAATTTTGTTACTGTTAAGAATATTTTACTTAGACTTTCCTGCTGTTTTAGGGAAATCTTGGGTTGGTACCTGCCTATTTTTGGACTGTTCGATTGACCTTACTGTTTTTGAATATTGTTGACCTGGGTTTTGCCCATCAAACGTCGCTCAGGTTAGAACACTTCTTTGTTCACAAGAAGATGAAGCCAAATTAAAGTAGACTTTTGCAAACCTAAGGAACAGCAATGACCCCCTTTTTTTGAGAGTGACTGATGATTGATCTCAAATTCGCAGTCGCGGATTACTGGATTTTAAGTTATTATGTTTCTCTTCGAGTAGGGGTGTGACAGGCATCCAAGCCCCGACACCCTGCTGGTCGCTGCGGACCTCTGACGCGGGTGCAGCAAGTGACAGGCGCTGTTGCCCTTGGATGCAGCGAATAGTAGGCGACCCCTCCCCAGGTTTCCTCACACCGTGCCAAATTTGGATTAACTACCTGGTGGTCAAAGAGGGGGTCAATGCAGAAAACCCACATGCCAAGCTGAATTGGGACGCCATCACCACACACTGGAAATCCCGTTTCATCCTGCAAGACACGAAGGCGAAAGCCATCAATCAGCCTTTCAAGATGTTTCAAGGAAGTCAACCTACTCGCTATTGGTTGACCCAATGGCAAAAGATAATTGTTGTCCTGGACTTGAACTTCTCGTTTGAGCACATCAAACGTGAGTTCTTTCGACGCTTGGCGGACTCCTTGACATCTCCCCTTGGACAAACGGAGGTGTACGAGGACGGACTCCTTGATATCTCCCCTTGGACAAATGGAGGAGTACAAGGACGAACTCCTTGATATCTCCCCTTTGACAAATAGAGGAGTACGAGGATTTTGACACAATCATCACTCGAGCTCGCGCCATCATCCAAACCAATAGGTGTGCCGCAAACGAAAGACAAGGGCAACTGAACTTTGTGGAGAAAGGAAAGGGGCAACGAACGCAGCCTGTTGCTGCCATCCAACAAGTGGACCGAATGAAGACCCGACGTCGACTTCAGGGTCAAGTGAAGGAGACCAAGTCAATGCCCTTTTGTCGCGATACACCATCTGAAGAAGGAAAAAGGTGAACATCGCGTCGACGTCGGAAGGCGGACAGCCGAACCAGCCATGGACGAAGCTCGGACTTATGGAGGTGCTATACAAGCACCGACAAAAGCTTGAATGCTGCTTTTGGTGCAACAACACCAAACACACTCCGACTCAATGCCCCGAGAAGGGCAAAGACGTTGTGTGTTCACGGAAAAGCTCGGGAAATTGAGCTCCGTGAGAAGTGAGGCGACTCCAATTCCGATTTAGTCGGGCACGGTTGCCTCCATGTTCGGGGAGCACATGGATGTCGCACGTCTTCAGGAAGACTTCGAACACTACGCTGTCCAGCTGGTCCCTCCGTTGGATCTACCCCTCCACGTGCAAGATTCTCACATATGCACGATTTCATCACCGTCGGCAAGTGAACCAACCTCATCGTCGACCCTACTATCAGGGGACTCGTCAGTGTGGTCAAGACTTGAGGACCTTGACCCGTGACGACAAAAGACTTCCAGTGGTTTCCTCTTCCCCCATCCGGTTCATTGTCGAAACCGTATTGCAACGCCGTAATGGCAGAGCTACACAAGTATTTGCACGCTGCAGTACCGACTCCGGTGATGGACGACGGAGTAGTGGTTGTTGACCTTCGCGAGTATATTGCGAAGATGGACCACGAGTACGCAATGCAACTGTACGATGACATCGACGGGCCGTTACTTTACATTCGCATTCAGATCGGGAAGGCGACCTGCAGCGCCTTGATCGATTGTGGAGCTACTTGCAACTACATCAGCCAAGACTTCATGCTGTGCGCTGACCTCGGCCTGCGCGTTCAATGGAAGTCGCAGCCCACGCAAGTCATGTTGGCCGACGGTCACACGCACAAGTCCATTGATCGGTGCGTTGACGCAGCAACTGTGTACTTTGACATTTTGGACACGAAGTTCGACATGATCTTAAGCATGTCGTGGCTATGAAGCGAGGACCACCCAGTGAACTTCTATCGCCACACCATTCACGTTCGTGATCGGAACGACGTACTAGTCCTATGCACGTTTAAGAATGCTGGACCGCTCCCGCACTATGTATTGACTACCACAAACTTAACACGAAAACTGTTAAGAATGATGGTCCCCTCCCGCGCATCAAACGATCTTCTCGAACGTTTGGACGACGCCATGTACTTCTCGAAGTTGGATCTCAAGTCGGGTTACCACCCATACTAGTCCTATGCACGTTTAAGAATGTTGACCCGCTCCCGCGCTATGTATTGACTACGGCAAACTTAACTCGCAAACCGTTAAGAATGTTGGCCCGCTCCCGCGCATCAACGATCTTCTCGAACGTTTGGGCGACGCCATGTACTTCTCGAAGTTGGACCTCAAGTCGGGTTCCCACCAAATCGAGATCCATCCATGAGATGAGTACTGACCGCGTTTAAAACGCAATACTTGGACTTCGAGTGGGTCGTAATGCCATTCGGCCTCTCAAACACCCCAACCACCTTCCAAGCTGTAATAACGAGGGAGTTCTGCGACATGTTGGTCGGTTCATGCTTGTCTACCTCGACACGATTTTGGTCTTTTGTCAGACCTTGGACGAGCACCTCACATATCTATGCGCCGTTCGGGATAGGATACGTGCGGCCAAGTAAAAGGCCAAATGAGTTGAGTGCGAATTTGTGCAACAAGAGCTCGACTACTTGGGCCACTTTTTGACGCCGCAAGGCATCGGTTCGCTCGCGGACAAGATCAAGGCCATCAAAGATTGATCGGAACCAACCAACACTACGAAAGTTCGTTCTTTCATGGGATTGGTCGGGTATTATCAGCGCTTCATTAGCCGATACGCACGGATCGCCGCACCTTTGTCGGAATTGCAGTCTCCAAAGGTGCCCTTCATTTCACCAACGAAGTCCGGAGGTTGTTCGAAAAATAAAAGACGATGTTGTTGTTAGCTCTCGTCTTGAGTATCTACGATCCCACCTTGCCAACGAGAGTGACTACGACGCTTTCAGTAACGATGTTAGTGCAGTTTTGGAACAACATGACGACGTAGATTGGCATCCGATTCAACCAAAAGGTGTGTGCCATCAACTTGGTTGATGATGCGCAGAAGGCGTTGCTTGCATTCGTCACAGTAATAAAGCATTGGCGACACTTCCTCCTTGGGCGTCGTAGGTTCACTTGGGCGACGGACAACAACACATTGACTTATTACAAGACGCAAGACACAGTGAGTAGCACGATTGCTCAGTGGTTGTACTTCCATTGATCAATTCGACTTCACACTGAAGCACATTTTGGTTCTCTCAAACCTAGCCTCGGGTGCTGTCTCGCGAAGATCGGATCTTTGCGTGTTGATTCATCACGTGCTCGACTGCGACGATATAGTACATCAACACTTTGTTTGCGCACACAAGTGGAATACGCCACTCTTTATGAGCAGCTTTCTTTGGATCACCTGTCGACTAGACACTATCGCGTTACCGACGACGAGTTGCTTCTCCACTCACAGGGCAAGGACTTACTATGCGTCCCACGAGACGGTCAACTATGGACTCGCCTTCTCGGTGAGTACCACGACTCGTGACTCGCCGGCCATTCGGAGTCAATCATACGATCACAAGACTTCAACAACGATTTTGGTGGCCTGAACTCGTCACCGACGTCACTCAGTATTGTGAATCTTGCAAAGTTTGCCGACGAAGCAAGCCTCGCAATTGAAACCCCTATGGCGAGTTGCGCCTGTTGCCCATCCCTCGGGAACCTGGCCTCTCCATTGCTATGGATGTCAACGGCCCATTCCCCCGCGATCGCTTCGGGCACGATAACATTGTCATGGTCGTTGACCGTTCGAGTAAGTACGAGCGATTTCTCCCTTGCAAGTATCACATCACGACTTTTGTGCTGGCGCGACTCTTGCACACCGGATGGATTTGCAGCCACGACGTTTCGGAGGACATCGCCAGCGGCCGCGACACTCACTTCATGTCAACAGTTTGGACTTCTGTCATGAAGTAGTCCGACACCGAGATGTAACCGAGTTCGGATCGACGTGGACAATTGGACCGGCAAACGGAGCGGGCATATCAAACCGCTCGAATGATGCTCCGTACTCTCATTCGTCCGATCCAAAAGGATGGGGTGGTGGCCGGAAAGGTCGTATATTTCAGAGGACTGCCGACATTGCCACCCCTTGCTCTCCCGCCTCCGTTCGGAAGTACCGAGACTTGCTGGCCCAAGCCCACGCAAACATGCACAAGGCTCAGGTCCGTATGCAGCAGCAAGCCAATCGACGTCGCTTGCCGTGTCCTATCCATGCCAACTACCTTGTTTGGGTCTCCGCAGAAGAGAGTGCGCTCGAATAAAACGTTTTGTGCAAGCTACTCCCCAAGTGGTTCTGACCTTGGACCGTCATATCAGCCACAGGACACGAGCCCGATGGCCCATCATTTGTGATTGACATCCCGCTGCATCTACGGTCCACCTGGTCTTCCACACCTCCAAGCTGGCTACTTATACACCAGCCAAGACCGACGACTTCTTGGACCGATGATCGCAGGACCCTCTGTGTATGTTTGGTCATTAGGAAATCGATTGCGTCATCACGCACCACAAGTATGACAACAAGCCAATGCAGTACAAGGTCAAATTCAAGTGGTGCGACCGCAACAGCACACGGTGGATCTCACGAGTAGAGACTTGCAAGCCTTCACACCGCTTATCTGCGCCAACTACGAGCGACAATGAGCCTGCCCCTCCCACCCGTGCTTGGGTCCCTCCCTCCGACAGACAGCTTCGCCCTCGCCAGTAAGCTCGGTCTTTCAAGGAGAGGGGGGTGTGGCGTGTTCGGTTCCACACGGGCCCTGCTGGGCCCAACCAGGTAGGGTTACGGGCTAGTAGGGGTCAGCATTAGTTTGCGATAGTTTAGTTTTGCCCCACATCGGGGCCCGTAGGTTCAGGTTAGGACCAGGACCCGATTCTAGGCCCTGACGCTACGTTTCAGTTAGCACCAGGCTCCCGGTCAGCACCAGTGCCGTTCAGGCCCAGTTTGGCCCAGTTTTGTGCAGACCCCGACTCCGGGTCTGCAGCAGTTTAGGTGCCGGGACCATTGGCGCCACAGTTTTTGATCTTGGCGCGCGTTCGGTAGAGGCCTTGGCCCGGTAGGCAACCTCTCAGCAGACCAGCGCTATATTTAGCTGGTCCGCCTTGTAGTACAGAGGCAGTCTGCAGGTGTAGTTGTAGTCGACGATAGGCAGAGCTGAGCAGTCTTTCAGCACTGGGCGCTGTGTTAGGTTTCGGCCACGAGCTTGACCTGCAGCTTACTGCAGCGGAGGTTAGGGAGAGGTCCGGCTATGGCCAAGGCCAGGGGACTTACCTGTGACGCCATCGCTCCAGCTTCGTCTTCAGTGCATCCATACCTGCATCAAGGCGACACCTTTCGCAGGTCAGTACCTGGTACACACAGAGAGAGAGATGTTCTCTTTTTCCTCCTCCTCTAGTCCATCGCCCTTCTTCTCCCCCTCCACCACTCTGGTCTTCTTCTTCTTCTTCTTCTTCTTCTTCTGTGTGTGTGTGTGTGTGTGTGTGTGTGTGTGTGTGTGTGTGTGTGTGTGTGTGTGTGAGAGAGAGAGAGAGAGAGAGAGAGAGAGAGAGAGAGAGAGAGAGAGAGAGAGAGAGATTTGCGGCATTGGGACTTGGCGGCATGCGGATTCGGACCTGACATTTGGACAGAGATATTGTGGGGGGGCCCTTTTTTCGGGATCGGTATCGCCAACATTTTGGTTGAAGACATTCTCCATATCTCCCCTCCCTTTGTCACTCCTCCCTCCTCGTCATCTGTGTATGGTTACGTCGCTGGCGCCCTTCGTCTCTGTGTTCGGCGCCAGGCCACTCACACCGTGTGATGACGCTGATGGTGATGTTCCGTCTGTGTCACGACATTGATTGGGTCTGATTGTTAGTATTTCAGTCTTCAGCTGTGCTATCAGTGCTCCATCTTTGAGAGGTCGGTTCTTGGTTCTGGTCTGCGCCATTGGGCATGCAACAAGGAGGAGGAAGAAGCGAAGGACAAGAGCCGTACAGGACAAGACAAGGTGGTATCCTCATGGTAGAACAGACAGCATGCATCACATGGTACACCTGTTCATGAAGAATTGCTTATGTTTTGTTTCTTGTTGTTCATGTCTTTTTGTTTGCGCGCAAATCTGTAACAGGTCGTCTAGCAAAGTCTAATCGTCATTGTAAATTAGGATGAAAGAAAATGACACTGAGAAAGAGCTGTTTGCATATGACACAGATTAGCGCAACCTCTGGTGAGCAGTCCATTTTAGCTGTGTTATTTGTCGTATGTGGGTAAGTAGCCACACTGATAATTTTTTTGCATGTTTATGTTGCAGGTGAACATCTTTGTAATTCCACTAGTCCACCTGTGAATTGTATATTGAAGCCGCAAGGAGTCGTCCGTCTACCTGTGTGCAATGGTGTAGCGGACAAGCAACCTTGCCACATGGTTATCCTCGTGCACGTGCCTGTCTCATCAGTGACCATGACCTTGAAGACGGACACAGTTGAACGCACCATCGCAACATTTCTTGGTAGTAAGGAAGTCCAAGAAGCATCTATTGAGCTGGTTAAGCAAGGGGAAATGTCTATTTGGTTCACTAATTCTGCTGCGGATGTTATTGTTAAGAGAATTGACTTCATAGCCCCAAGTATCTTTCACATGCTTAATCCAGGAGATCAAGTATTGTTAATTCAGATTACTCACTCGGATAAAAAGGGTGTTTTTTTTGCGGCTTCATGGCAGCAAAGCATGGACGTGTACTGGTTGCTAAGGTGCGGTGGAAGTTGTCCTCAAAACCTAACAGTGAACGGCTGGGATGTTTTTCAGTATCAACGTCGAGATGTGGAGAATGGAAACATCACATATATAGGCCGGAGTAGAACCAGGAGTAATGGTACAAGCGTTGAGTTGCCAGAAGGAGACTGGGGAGCTTACCAGATGGTATTCTTAAATACCTGTGGTTCTGCGTCCTGTGATTTATGCATGGACCTAAATCCGGCTGCAACATGTGAGTTGTTGAATGTCTTTCCTTGAGGCACTATACCCAACTTGAGAATGGAAAATGAGTCATTCGAAAATTTTGGTGGCTAGGGGCCACCAGATCAAAATGGCTGATGGCGCTAACCAAAAAGTGGGTACACCCATGAACTGTTGAAATACAGACCCGAGTTTGAATCCAGATGATGATGGAACTTGATGAGAAAAACCAACTACTAATGAATTGCATGGGGCCAGTCAGCTCAATGATAATATCTCGAGGCCGTAGCCCTTTTAATTAAAAAAAAAGGTAAATTAAGTGTGCCACTTGGTGCACAGCATGAGTCCACCACAACGAATGGAGGCTTGGATGTACTGGTCCGTTAACATCCTACTTTACCATCAAGGCTACCAGCACAGCAGGAACCAGATGGCCAATGGTGACCTCTGGGTCAACCTCAGCAAGTTTAAACCTTGTCAGGAGACGAACAAATCCAGCGTCTGTTTCTTCCTTTATGAAGTGGGGTTGTGGGGTTTTGAGGGTTTGTCTGGGGTGGTGGCACAGTGCACACAAAGACGTGAGATATAGCGCGATGGACAAACTGGGTGAGTGGTTGGAGACAATGCACGGAGAAAAAGGCTCCTTCTTTCTGTGTGTGTGTGTGCATGCGGAAGTTTATGCCTGTCGACTATCAAATCTCCCAAATGTCAACCTCAATCTGTCCCATGAAATGCTCACACCAAAAATGGACAAGTGCGATATGCCTATAACTATCAGATAGGCATGGCGGAAGAACCGAGGATCACTATGAAGAACAACGATAACAACAATGCAGCGGAAGGCCGAAATACAAAGATCTGAGTTATCAGACTCAGGAAGGAATGCATACATCCATCATCACTGGTACACAGAGTGGACATGGCGGGTCAAACACATTAGATAGCCACCATGTCCACCACATCCACAGACTGAGGGAGATGGAGGAAGAGATGAGGAGGGGAGAAGGCACAGGGGAGACTGCAACTTGATAGCCCAGCGAAAGAATAGTCTCCACAATAGTCTCTGTCCAGACTACAATGCCCGAGTATGGGTGAATAGCCCGAATAGTCGCCAAGTCTCAGCTCTCTCTCTCTCTCTCTCTCTCTCTCTCTCTCTCTCTCTCTCTCTCTCTCTCTCTCTCTCTCTCTCTCTCTCTCTNTCTCTCTCTCTCTCTCTCTCTCTCTCTCTCTCTCTCTCTCTCTCTCTCTCTTTGTCTGTTGCATACTCGTGAAATGACTTTTTTTGGGATTCAATCGAGTGGTATTTTCATGGGAATTTTATTTATTGCTGTAGGTTTTTTATGGAAAATAACTGCAGTTCCTTTTCATATGTGGGCACCTGATGTATACGAGGGTTCTCCTACTTTTGTCACAGCTTTCTTTGCTGTAACACCTAAGATTGCTGTTCTTGCAAATATGGATCATAAGAGGGGCACCAGTCAAGGCAACTTCGTTGCGAGTTCGAAAACAAAAGACAAAACCATAAAGACTCAGGATCCAACACCATAATAAGAGACTACCTTCATGATTCGACCAAGTTCCAGAAACTTTATAAAACAATGGTAATTGATTATTTGAATTTGTAAAAACGCTATAAATAGAGAAATCAGAAGAAACATAACAAAACAAAAAGCTAAAAAAACAGATGGTTAAAACGAGAAAGTAAAGTGAACAAAAAAAAGATATCCCATTATGACTTTTTGTGCTTCGCACCTGCTGATTAAGCTCCAGTTTAAGCTCTTCAGATAAGAATTGAGTCACCAACCTTTTGATCTCGACAGCATCTGCTCTAGATCCTGCTGTTATGATAATAACAAAATCATCAGCATATCTTACATAGAAGAGTCTTTTGAAACCTGGATCCATTGGATCTGATGAAGTCTTCCAAAGGGTTCGCTGGTTGCCAGTTTTTGTCGTTTGAAGAGCGGAAGCTCTTACGAAGTTGTAATTCAATTGTCATGACGTTGAATATTTGGAATTGTTGATTACAACGAGTAGGATCCTCAGAGGCTATATGCCCAGCAACCATTSTATCTCTCTGGTTGAAGATATAATCCGATGCCATTAGGAAACTAGTGGTTGAATTGACGGGAGCTTATTTCACCGCGGCAACCATTGGATCTTGTGGCACGAAGTTTACACGCCAGATTGTTAGCCCTTCGACGTGTCACTATGGACAGCTCTTCGACGAGAGGAGAAATGGAATTAGTTCGAACACTGAAGTTCGATGGCCAAACTTGGACGGGACGGAACCACTTCCTTTTTCTTGTGGATCGAGCTAAACAGGCATTAGCTGAACCACGCTTAATGAAAAATGTTCCAACTTTGGCAAGCCTGGCTATTCGCAACATACTTGTATGAAACAGATAGGCTGAGATTTTCGAGGGGCGGTTGTCTGGTACATAGAAGGCTGAAGGTCCAAATGCTTCGATACAATCGACCACCAAATATTGATGAGTCTTCTGCATAAGAAGATTCAAGATGAAGTAAAAGCACCGTGAGGTGTGAAGCTTACTCGTACTAATTTCGATGCCGACTATCGGGGATAATGGGGATAAATACAAATATCGGATTATGGATTTAGTGAAATATTTATTAGCAGGTGCTATTACTATGCTATTAACTGATATAAATTTTAATACCACTTTTTTTTATCCTGCAGGAGGAGGAGATCCTGTTTTATTTCAACATCTGTTTTGGTTCTTTGGTCGGGATGGCCACCTTAGAGAGTGATTTCTAAAGAAAAACGTTGCCGTTTGCTGGAACAACTACACGCTTATTCGTACTTCGATTTAAGTGCTTGCTCCGATTGCCCCGCTGTCTCCAACGTGGGCTCAGTGAAATTGAATTCTCCGTGAAGATGCGGAGTACCAGCGGCTAGACGATAAGACCCCGTGCACCTTTACTATAGCTTCGAATAAAACCCAGTTAAAAAAGGAAATCCAATTAAAGACATGCTGCCTATTAGCATCATAGCATAAGTAAAAGGTAACAAAGAAGCTAATCCTCCCATTTTGCGCATATCTTGTTCATCAGACATTGCATGAATCACAGAACCTGCACTCAAAAAAAGTAATGCTTTAAAAAGAGCATGGTTCAAGAGCGAGCTTGGAGTCTGGATTTTCGAACCTGGTTACCAGCCATTGCGTGGTTTCTTTAGGTCTTTGCCTGCTATAGCAAAGACCTTAGCCCGTGAGCGAAGCTTGAATTTGGCAGCATATACCATAGCCAAAGAATGGCGAAGTATATATGACAATCTAGCTATGCATTAGCGCTTTGAGTCTGCTATGTGATAGTAATTGGCGAGACCGCGGAGAAGTCCGGAGATGTGGGATCTGCTGCCTGCAGACAGTCTGTACGCTTTCTCTTGTGCGAACCCTCTACGTCCGAGTTCGTTACCGTTGACAGAAGTGGATTGGTTACTTCAACAAGTATGGGCAGAACCAAAGATCAACCAATATAGGATGAGCATGTATACAGCGGAAGTCTGAGAAATGGACTGACTCACATAAATTGAACTCATGCAGATATCACCCAACACACAAGCAATCGTGAGATGGTGGGGTCTGAAGCCAATCACAGACGATGCTCAGGCCCCGTACAACCATACATAGATGAAAGGTGGGAGAAAGTCCTAATGCAACCGGTGTCCAATCTATGATGCCGCCGAGTATCAATCCCAACCATCTCCAAGGTCTCGAATCCGGTAAGTATCACAACCTCTTACCACCGAAGTCCAAACACTGATCTCTGTCCAACTCGTATCCAAGTCTCCAATTTGAAGAAGAAGAAGAAGAAGAAGAAGAAGAAGTCTGAAGGAGAAGAAAAAGAAGTCTGAAGGAGAAGAAGAAGAAGAAGAGATGGAGAAGAAGAAGAAGAAGAGATGGAGGAGAGGTAGAGATGGGGGGAGCTGGTGAGGGGCCTCAGATCGAACCTGTAGGTAGCAAGCTGGCGTCTTGGCGGCGGCGGGAGTCCCACTACAGGTCGCTGAAGCTATGGCGCTCCACTGTCTCAGGAAAGTCCTCCTCGCTCCTCCTTGCTCCTCCTGGACTGCAGTGCGCTAACTGGCGCTGCAGTCCCTAGCGTTGTGCTGAACCGAAATAGCGCAGCGCTCCTCTGGCTGCTCCCCGTTCCAACCTATTGAGAATGGCCGCTGGACCGGCCTAAGTACCGTCCGCGGCTGGTCGGCCTCGATGCTGGCCTCCTGCGCCGTGGGCTGAACCGGCGAAATGACCGTTCAGCCCAGACGGGCGGGCGGCAGCCTCAAGAGCGCCGCCAGGCCCAAACGGTCATGTCGTTTGGGCCAGACCTGGTCTGCTAGGCGCTGAGGCGCCAATCGGTGGCCTAACAGGGCCTACCGGGGGGAAAAGGCCTGGCTTTTCGGCGAGGCCGGCCTAGGTACCCCCTGAACCGGTATGTGGGGCCTGTGAAGGCCCGTGTGGAATCGCAGAATGTAACACACTCCCCCCCTTGAAAGACCGAGCTACCTGCAAGGGCAAAGTTGTATGTCCGATACCTGGGTGGGTCCGGTGGGACGAGCTTTGTCCTTGGCGAGTCGCCGATTCTCGTAGTCGGAGAAGACGAGTGGTGCAGATGCCTGTAAGTCTGCGCGGGAGATCCAGCGAGTGTCATCTGGGGCACATTGCTTGAATGTGACTTCGTATTGCATTGGCTTGTTGCCAAACTTGCAGTGCTTGATGACACGGTCGACTTCCTGGTGTTCGTCCACAAAGGGCGGATCTTGTGATCGTCGGCCCGGAAACTCAGCCTCGGAAGGTGGCGTGTAGATGGCTAGCTTCGACGCATGGAAGACCGTGTGCACACGGAGGTGCGGTGGGATGGCAATCACGAAGGAAGGGCCTGCAGGGTCATCACCTGCTGCAATAACTACCTTCCATGGTCCAAACCATTTCGGGAGAAGTTTGCACGAGACGTCATGCTCCAACTGGAATTCCTCAGCGAGGACCCAAACAAGGTCTCCCTCGCGGAAAG